TTTAAAGGGAAAGAGAATATTAGTTAATAAATTACATTGAGATAAGCAAGTAATATGGGGAAAAATCAATTTAACGTCTCACTGCACCATACACTAGTATAAAGTTTCGATATAAATATTTAAAAGTGTAGAAAATAGTATCAAATATAAATGAAAGATTTGAGATTAACATTCTAGGCACAGAAGGAATTGAAAACAATCTTTAAGGAAATGAGACAGAAGGAGAAATTTTGATTTGTTGGGTTATGATGAGCTTCTACTGATTGCTGATAAATTCAAAGGTGAAAACCAGAGGAACATTTTGCCATAGAAAAGTTTATTTTTAAATAAGATTTTAATTTTAATTGAAGTATAAGATTTATAAAGAAAGATGCACAAATCTTAGGTGTGCAGCCGTTAATCTCTACTCAAAAGTAGCCTATATTCCAACTTCTAATACCACAGATTCGGTTTGACCATTTTCAAGCTTTATATATAAGGAATCTATGGTATATATTATTTTGTGCATTACTTACTCCCATCAACACGATGTGAAATTCTGTCACATTATTATGTATAGCAGTAATTCATTTTCATGGCTGTGTAACATTCATTCTACTGTTTGCCACTTTGCTCTATGAAAGTAATGCTGACATAAACATTGATGTACATGTCTTTTGGTGCACATACGAGCACATTTCCATTGGTATACACTTATGATAGAATTGTTGGTTTATAAGGAACATATATTATGATTTGTTTAGGTAGATACACTAAACAGCATGTGAAGCATGATTTGTTAGGTAGATACACTAAACAGCATGTTCTATATTCTTATTTTTTTCTTTCCTTTTCTTTTTTTACTTTTTTTTTTTTTTTTTTTTTTGAGACGGAATCTTGCTCTGTTGCTAAGCTGGAGTGCAGTGATGCAATCTCAGCTCATTGCAACCTCTGCTGCCCAGGTTCAAGCGATTTCCCTGCCTCAGCCTCCCGAGTAGCTGGGACTACAGGTGCCCACCACCATACCCAGCTAATTTTTTTTTTTTTTTGTATTTTAATAGAGATGGGGCTTCACCATGTTGGCCAGGATGATCTCTATCTCCTGACCTCGTGATCCACCTGCCTTGGCCTTCCAAAGTACTGGAATTATAGGCCTGAGCCCCCACGCCTGGCCCCCGCTGCTCTATATTCTATACTTAGTACTCCCTCCACCTCTTTTAGTCATTCAGAAATGGAATAATAGGAGGTATAGTACTATCTTATTGTGATTTTATTTTCCATTTCTTCAATTAATAGTGATGTGGAGCTATTTGGTACCATATTTTGTGAAGTATCCATTAAAGTTCCGGGCCCATTTTTAAATTGAGTTGTCTTTTTCTTAATGGTTTGAGGAGTTTTAGAACATATTTTGAACGTCAGTCTTTGGTCATTTACATATACTATAGAGATCTTTAGTGGATTTCTCATTTCACTTTTTTTTCCTTTTCAGACAGTCTCACTCTACCACTCAGGCTGGAGTGCAGTGGCATCATCTCAGCTCACTGCAACCTCCATCTTTTAAGTTCAAGCAATTTTCATGCCTCAGCCTCCCGAGTAGCTGGGATTACAGGCATACACCACCACATCTAATTTTTGTATTTATAGTAAAGACACGGTTTCACCATGTTGGCCAGGCTCGTCTCAAACTCCAGATATCAGGTAATCCACCTGCCTGGCTTCCCAAAGTGCTGCAATTACAGGCATAAGCCACTGCACCCAGCCTTCATTTCATAAATGATAGTTATTGCTATCGTTTCATTAACAGATGCTCTAAACTTTAACAAGTCCAATTTGTCAGTCCTTTACACATTGCACATTTAGATTTATATTTCATCTGGAATTTTTTTTTTTGGTATGGTGTGAGGTGGGATTCAAGCTGAGTTACTTCAAATCGTTACTCATTCAGCCCAGCCACATTTATTGAAAAGAACTTCCTTCCTCCCTGCACTGCTGGAGCATCTTTGTTATAAATAAGTGATCATATATGTACAGCTTTGTTTCTGTTCTTTTAGCTTATTTACTATCCTTGCCGGACACTATGCTATTTCAATTACTGTAGCATTATAATAAATTTTGATAATTGATAGTATAAATTCTACCTCAATATTTTTTATCTTCTTAGCTTTTTAAATTGCTATATACGTGTGTGTGTGTGTGTGTGTGTGTATCTGTGTGTCTGTCTGTGTGAGAGAAAGAGAGAGAAAATGAGAGAGAATCACTTTTAAACTTTCACCCAAAAAAAACCTTCTAGGTTTTTTACTATGATTGCACTGAATCTATAGGAAAATTGTGGGGGAAATTGCATCTTAAAATATTGAGCCTTCCACGTTACAAAAATTATATATCCTTCCACTTATTTATGTCTTTTTTGAGTCTTCTCCATAAAGGTAGTTTTATTTTCAGTATAAAGTTCTTGCATGTCTTTAAACACATGTATTTTAGAGATATTTATTTTATGACATTTTGAATTCTACCATTTAAGTTATAATTTATTTAAGTTGCTGGTGTATAGATACAAGTGATTTTTGAATATTTATGTATTCGGTGATGTTGGAAAATTTATCTATTAATTATATGTTTTATCTACATAGCTTTTTATTTTCTATGTGCAGAATCATTGTTTTTTTGTGCATTAAACAGTTTTGTTTACTTATTTCCTATGTTACATCTTTATTTCATTCTTTTGCTTTATTATATTGGCTAGGTTCTACTATAATATTGAATAAAAGAGGATGTAGTGGGCATTCTCGCCTCATTCCTGATCTTAGGAGAAAGGCCTTCATTATTTCATCATTAAGAATGTTACTGTAGGTTATCACATTTTTAAAGTATGCTTGTCATCTTTCCTCAGGATAACAGAGGTTCTGAACCCTCATGTTCTCATCTTTTAAATAATAATGAAAAATTACAAAATTATTTAGATAGGTGGTATTAGCTCACAGATTTGTTTTGTACACTATCCATTATCCAAAATTTCCCCTTCTTCATCTTTTTGTTTGGATTTTTTCCCTTTAGCTATTACTTCATAATACTTAACATTATAGATTTTGAATATAGATAAATAAAAAATGTAATTGAAATCTATCTACTTGGAATTGAAGATTTAGCCAAAGGTGTTGGTTGGAAACATCAAAATGAGTTTAGTGGATTAGCGTTAGATGTCATTTCTCCATAATATCCCCCATTTCCCTGCATTTCCATGAAAATTCTGTCCATGGTTAAAAGTTCCAAAGGCCTAGCATTGTTCATTGTCTCTGTTTTCCTGAAACATAAATTAATCATCTGGTATGAAAAAAATCACTAAGGAAGAATCACTAAGGATGAAACACTATTTTGGTGGAGGAAAAAAATGACAGGTGGAGAAAAGGAGGTTAATCTGGAATTCAAGAATCAAAAAACTCTGGGTACAGTCAGAATAATAACTTCATAAAAATTTAACTTTGAATTGTCAATTATTTCAGAATTGGAAATAACTTTCTTAGCCTGGTATATATATAGCAGGGGCCAATAAATGTTTCATTCCCAGAGAGCTAAAGAAATATTTTAAGTCGCTACCCCACACACACTGTGTCTGTAGTATCTAACACAGTGACGTTTGTTCATTTTCTTATCACTGGCATGCGACTGACTGGCTTAAGTCTAATAAACATCTCACTGAGGCTGAAGAATTCACACTTTGATGCTTTATCTTTGTATCAATTTAATTAGTCTTCTCACCACAAGACCACCACTTTTATATACCCATTTTCTACCCACTTTACAGATGAGAAATGGCAAAATGCAAAATAATAATAATAATAATTAAATAGTTGCATAAACAACGCTGGCTAATTTTTTTTATTTTTAGTAGAGACAAGGTTTTACTGTGTTAGCCAGGATGGTCTCAATCGCCCAACCTCATGATCTGCCCACCTCGGCCTCCCAAAATGCTGGGATTACAGGCATGAGCCACCGTGCCCGGCCATACCACCCTGAAAGTGCCAGGTCTCATCTGATCTCATAGATCAGAGTTGGGCTTGGTTAGTACTTGGATGGGAGCATTATGTTTTCAAGTAGGAAGACTGCGTTAGGAGTGGAGAGATCTTCTCTACCTACACAAAGACTCCAGGGGAGTCTCTACTGAAGCCCACGGGCTGCAGAGAAGCCTGACTCTCAGGAAGTGCCGACTGCTCCAGGTCAGTACCTTATTTAACTTACTTATTTTGAATCAAGTTATATCTAGTTCTAAGCCTGTATTGCATATTGTTTTACTTTTTCTGTATATTATGTCTTGATATCTTGAAAAAACCTTTAAGAAGGAGACACACATCCTCTCCCTGAGCCAACTAATTGTCAGAGCCGAACCCAGCCCCAAGCATGCCTCTGATTCACAAACCAACCAACACACAGCCACACCTCCTCTATGCCGCCCTTGTTCCACAGGAAGCAATATTCCTCAGCCCTAATAATCCAGGCAAATCCCTAGTGTGCCACCCTATAGCTTAGGGCCCTCTGAAATTATACAAAGCAGCCAGTCCTAAATTGTTCACTCACCTTGCCTTGTCTCTCCCCAAAAACTCCAGTGAAGGCTCTGGCCTTCTGCCTCCTGACCACCCTAGAGTCTTCCCCTGTGACTCTGCCTGGCATGGTGTACTTCCTGTCTCTAGAAACTGTGAGTATCATGAACTTTGTTTTTCTGAGCCTCTCCAGTGTCTCCTCTTCTGACACAGCTGGCTGACCATGTCATAAGAGAATACAAAAAGCCAAATACAGTGGCTCATTCCTATAATCCCACCCCTTTGAGAGGTTGAGAAGCAAAGATCACTTGAGGCCAGGTGTTTGAGATAAGCCTGGGCAACTTTCTGTCTGAAAGAAAGAAAGAAAAAAAAAGGAAGGAAAGAAGAAAGCAAGAAAGAAAGAGAGAAAGAAGGAAAGAAGGAAGGAAGGAGGGAAGGAAGGAAGGAAGGAAGGAAGGAAGGAAGGAAGGAAGGAAGGAAGGAAGGAAGGAAAAGAAAGAAAGGAAGGAAGGAGAGAGGGAGGGAAGGAAGGAAGGAGAGAGGGAGGGAAGGAGGAAGGAGAAAGAAAAGAAAGAAAGAAAAAGAAAGAAAGGAAGGAAGGAAGAAAGAAAGAAATTAGCCAGGCATAGTGGCACACCTGTAGTCCCAGCTACTGGTGGCTGAGTCAAGAAGATTGCTTGAGCTCATGAGTTTGAGGCTACCATGAGCAATGATTGTACCACTGCACTCCAGCCGGCTGGGTAACAGAGTGAGACTGTGTCTCCAAAAATATAAACAGATTAGGCTGGGCGTGGTGGCTCACGCCTGTAATCCTAGCACTTTGGGAGGACAAGGCGGATGGATCACTTGATGTCAGGAGTTTGAGACCAGCCTGGCCAACACGGTGAAACCCCGTCTCTTCTAAAAATACAAAAGTTAGCCAGGTACCTACAATCCCATGGTGGCAGGTGCCTGTAATCCCAGCTACTAGGGAGGCTGAGGCAGGAGAATCGCCTGAACCTGGGAGGCAGAGGTTGCAGTGAGCCGAGATCACACCATTGCACTCCAGTGTGGAGGACAAGAACAAGACTTCATCTAAAACAAAGAAACAAACAAATAAATAAATTGAATAAATAAATAATTTTAAACAAAAATTTTTAAACAAAACCCTCATTTATCAAGTTTGGTTAAAGATTCAATCTCGACCACTTTTCAGGGACCCCTCTCTGCTTTCTTCCCTTTTGGGATTTCATGAAATCCTCCTGGCTAACACAGCCAAGGAAACTAGAGAAGGGTTTCTGCTGTTCAGGCCTCAGAGGCTGCGCTGCCAGTGCTCAGGCTGTTGGGGAATGTGAAGGTACCCGAGGGACACCTGCTAGTGCCCCCTCTCTCCCCACTCCCCACTGCCAGACTCCGACCTTGAAGCCCTGCCATCTCCAGGTTCAGAGCTTCCAATTTTTCCAGGAGAAACTGGAAATTATAGTTTCTGGGAAAATATCCTCACTATCTTAAAGTCGGCCACGAATGAAACATCTGTGCACTGTAAATATCTTCTGTGCACTGTAGCTGTCTACATGACCAGGGGTTGAGTGGGCCTGAACTCAGCCCACATTGCGCTGCCAGCGCTTCCCGTGAGGGTGAAGCAGCAATTCCACACTCTCTCTTTTTTGCTGATAAGCCAACCCAGAAAAAGCAACAGCACTACTGCTAATTTTTCAGTTACTCATCCTGCTGTGAAAGAAGTATGGGTGCAAACTGCATGTGTTTGAGATTCCAGGGAACACCAAAGTCATTATTTCTAAAATGAGAACAAAGCCGCCTTCCAGACTTTACAAGGTTCATTGTGAGGATCAAATGAGTTGAGATGCTACAGTGCTCTAGGTGAATGCATATATGGTAAAGAAGTTGGGTAGTACCAAGTGGAATAAGAGAACAGACAGGGAGCACAGGGAGAGCCGCTGGGACTATTCTTGCTTGGAGTCACTCTTTTTTTTTGAGACGAAGTCTCACTCTGTTGCCAGACTGGAGTGAAGTGGTGTGATCTCGGCTCACTGCAACCTCCGCCTCCCAAGTTCAAGCAATCTCCTGCCTCAGCCTCTCGAGTAGCTGGGACTACAGTTGCGTGCCACCACCCCTGGCTAATTTTTCTATTTTTGGTAGAGACAGGGTTTCACCATGTTGGGTAGGATGGTCTTGATCTCTTGACCTTGTGATCCACACACTTCAGCCTCCAAATTGCTGGGATTATAGGCATGAGCCACCACGCCCAGCCAGAGTCACTCTTTTTCCTTTACATGTATGATACTTGTTTGCAACAGTGAGCACAGCCATTCTGTGTAGCCAAACGGGAAAAGGACAGTCCCTTCCACATCACGTAGCCTCAGAAGAACTGCCACCTGTACATAAATGGGTTGCATCACCCAGAAAGAACCGAACAGTTTTAGGTATCAGCACCATGCTTTATGGATGACAACACGCTCATATCTAATATCCTCTCTTCACTGTGGAAGGTCAGTAGCCAACGTCTGTTAACCTATTTTGCGTTGCTACGAAAGAACACCTGAGGCTGGGTAATTTATATAAGGAAGTTTATTTGGCTCATCGTTCTACAGGCTGTACTAGCGTATGACACTCACATCTGCTCAGCTTCTCGTGAGGCCTCAGGAAGCTTACAATCACGGTGGAAGGCGAACGGGGAGCTGTCATGACACCTGGGGAGAGAGGGAGCAGCAGGAAAGAGGAGGAGGGGCCCGGCTCTTTTTAAACAACCAGCTCTAATGTGAACTAAGAGTGAAAGCTCACTCATTACCACAAGCACAGCACCAACATATTTATGAGGGGTCTGCCCCCATCACTCAAATGCCTCCCACTGAAGGACTGGAGGTCACATTTCAACATGAGATTTGGAGAGTCAGACATTCAAACTATGTTACAGAGTGTGTCCATTCTAGAGTAGAGTGCACAGGAGCAGACACATGTGGCTGGTCGCAGAGCAGAGGACCTTGTATCTATGGCTTAGCCCTCTGGTACTCAGATAAATGGAACAGAACTGGAGAACCTAAGAAAAGAAATTCCGAATAGCATATGCACAGAGGCTTTGCACCACCCTGTGTTTCCCGTTCTTCTTTGCTGTTCTGCTTGCATTATTTATTCATGATAACAGGCAATTAGGCCGTGTCCTTCAGTCCGGCCCAACAGATGTGAACTGCAGCAAATGTGAGGGTGTGTGTCTGTCGATGTACCTGAAACGGATACGGGGACATAGAAAAGCTTCACAAATCACAAGGCTACCTTACATATTTTATAAAACTTTCACATGTGCAAATCTCTTTTTTGTGTATTCTTTCATAAATTATGCATGTCGATGAACATCATAATTCTGTGGAATTGGGCAAGGGGGGAAGCCCAAGGTGTCTAGGGTTTCAGATTGCAAGCACTAGCTGAAAGAGTCTGCTCTCTCTCTGGAAAAGGCCATCAGACCTAAAGAGGAGTCTTGTCTCTGTGCTGTTTCTACCAATCCACTCTAGATCTGTCCCTTCCCCTGAGAAGTGCTGCTGAGGATGAAAGGGCCTGCCGGAGGCTCTAAGGAGGACAAGCCGAGCAGCCTGGAGGGAGCCACTGACATTGCGAGAGGCACAGAGAGCGCTGCTTTGGACAACCGCCCAGAGTGGTGCAAGCAGCCAGGGCCAAGGGGCCTCTTGCATCGACTGACATGAATGGCACCTGTTGGAAATTTGCTGATGGTGCACAAACATGCTTCATGCACACCAGGCCAGCTGGAACCTCCTTTCGCCTTCCTCTTCCACAGACGCTCCCGGACACACACCATCTCACACACATGCAAGCGCATTCGGACCCCATGTCCTCCCAAAGCCTCACCCGGCGTGGACAGCTGGCTAGCTCTCGGGAGGGAGAGTCAGAATAGAACAGAGCAGATGCTAGCCACAGGAAAATGCTGAAGGAGAAACACAGGGCACGCCGAGCCACAGGAGGAAGAAAGGAAAGGTGCTTTAGAAACCACGGCAGCAATCGTGAAGTAGTGCCTAAGTTAGGGTTGCGTACCAGCTTTCAGCCAGAGATCTCACTCAGAGAGCTCTACGAGTGTCATGAGAGAGATCATCATTTCCATTTTAGTTGTGGGAATGCATCAAGGGAAAAGAGCTGGATCCATCTGACCAACATTCCTGATGGGGAAAGAGCCCAGGGTTGTTTCTCCATTAGACTGGTTCAGATGGTTGAGAATCCAGCCAGCACGGCAACCTCAAACACCCCCACCCTGGACACTCTCAGTGACCCCAGGTTACAGGACTTACCTTTCCATTAATAATGGATGACGTGCCGCAGGAGGAAGTTCGCTAGTCAAGGGTCTGTCCTTGGTCCCATCCTGCTAAATATTTTAAACAATTTTTTTGTGAAAATAAAACCAACCTGATTATCAAATTTGCAGCTGCCAAAAGCTAGGGGAGATGACTCATTTCTTGGATAACAGAATTGCTTTGCAAAAAAACCTCTAACAAGCTGGAATGATCAACCTGAACTAACTTGATAAAATTTAAAAGGAATCAATGGGAAATCCTAAACTCAGGTTTAGAAAGTCAGCTGCACTGACACATGACATAGGAAACCAATAATAGCAATTGTTTTGAAAAAGACTCGACATGTTTAGTTGACTCTACGGTGTAGAGAAAAACTTGTAAGAAAGCTAATGCAACAAAAGACACATTCACAGACAAATAGGGTCATGTAGTCATAGAATATTATTACTAAGGTGACATAAGAGGTCATCTTTGAATGGCAGAGCAGAAGTCCTTCAAGGTTAAATGTAAGACTGGATAGAAAGGATTTAACATGGGCTCTGTCTTGAGCACCAACTCTAATCAATGGGAAGTTGCTACCTGGAGAATGGCTTTTGAGAAAGATTCTGAATTCTTATCTAGGCTCAGCAGAAAGGAGGGCTGTGAGAGTTGAGCGATTCCGTCGTGGTCTGGAGAGGGAGTTCAAAGGCTACAGATGCAGGAACAGAGAGCTCCATGGGCGCCTGCCTGCTCAGCCCCATAGATCTCTTTATTCAGTGCATCCTGCTGCAAGCACCTGCAACTTCAGCCGAGGCGCTTTCTCTTGATCGGCACGTCGGGGAAGCTGGGAGTGCTGTGTAGTAAATCCCTCTGATAGGTGAGAGTGGGAAGATAAACATCCCTAACATCCTCACCCATTGGAGGGGAATATTCGCAGGTGTGCTCTGCAGCCTCTCCCAGAGTTCACCAGCAAGTCAAGTCTCAGTTGCTCACAGCAGTCACCTCCTCAATACCACTGAATGCCTTTCTTGTCTGTCTCACCTCCCCAGTCCTCCACAGCTACTTCTGGGAATGGTCTCCCAAATAAACCACTTGCACCAAAATCTTTGTCTCAGGATCAGCTTCTGGGGACACTCACCCAACACAGCTTCTTGTTTGTCATTCCTGATAAAACAAAGAAAACGATAATCAACCCAACACTATTTGGGTGACACGATCAAGTATAACGTGAAGCACTAGGTCACTGAGAACCTGAGAAGACAAACCAGGATTATGAAAGGTCTGGTGTCCCTCAGCCAATAAGGAAGAACTCAGGGAAAAGGGTGATGGTTCTGGGAAGCAGAGAAGGCACCGGGCAGGAGGCACAGCTTCAGTTACACGGAGGCAGTTGAGCACTGAGGTTATCAACACTGACTTTGCTTTCACAACCCCGGGTACACATCTCAGAGGTGCCACCTACTAGGTGTGTCATCTTAGATGGTTTTTACGTTTTTGAAACTTCTCTAAATCTTTGTGTCCTTACCTGCAATATAGAAACTGTAATCATGCCCACCCCTCAGTGTGACTTTGTGAATTAAATGTGATAATGCCTGACTCATGGAAAGCACAAAATAAACAATGAAGGCATTGCTAGAGCCAGTGTTTCAATATTAAAGGCAATCAGATTCAGGTTTAAATTAATCAGATCATTATGTTTAAATCATACTGATAATTTGTGTTCTCTGGTAATGAAACTGGCTTCCTTGTAAATGGCCAGGAGGAGACGAGAGTTGGCTGTGGTTGGGTTTGAGACAGATGCCCCCCTCCCTTGCCCTACTGCCTTCTCCAGGCTCTTCCTTCAGCTTTCTTCCCTACCTCCCCCATTTCCCATCCACAGCCCTAGTCTGTTTAAAATCTCCAGGGACTCCTTTGTTTTCTTCCCCTATAAGCATATTCTCGGCAAATGCAGATCTCAAGAGGCTAATTTGGTGCCATCTGGAAGCAGCACTTTTGTCTTCCCCAGCACTTCAGTTCCAAGATGCATTTGCACCGAGCCCCAAGGCAAGTGGCTGGGCAGCACAGCTTCGGAGGAACATATGGTAGAAGGAAGCCACCCACAGGGATACTGGAGAGGAGTTGAAAGCGGACTTCCTTTCTCTGCTGATCGGGGTTGTGAACAAAGGTTCATGAAGACTCCTGCAGCAGGCTTGAATAAAACCAGTGTCAGGCAGTCACCCTAGAGAAGGACCCAGCCCATGAGGACTGGGAAGCTCGTGTTGGTTAAATAAAGTAGATAAGAAGCTGCCTTCCTTCCTAATCCCCATCCATGCCCCCTCCTCCATGCAGTCTACCTTCATTGTCTCTCCACACTCCACATTGCTACTGGGACATTTTATTATTACATTTGATTATTATTATGTGTGTGAGGACACACACAACAAACCGTTTATGAGAATATCTAAAATATGAAAAAAGTATGAGCTTTAGATCATACACAAAATACTCCCGCCAACATCTAAATTAACAAGGGGTTATTGGCATTCCATTATGTCAATTCTTCTACACATTTAAGTCATTACTTATTTAAAAATCACCATATTTGAAAATAATTTTCAGGTTAGAATTTATAACTTCACAAGAATACCTGAGTAGGCTCAATGGTATTAGATAAAACACAGTCGAACATACGGGCATTACTTCCATTTCTTCCATTGCTAAAGTAATTTTTTTCCCTTTCCACAAGCATCGATTGATTGTCTACATGCTGGGCATCTTTTTAGGTGCTGGGGATTCAACCTTAAAAAAGACAAACTCTTTGCCCTATGGGGAAATTATTTCAAATATTTAAAAATAATAAATAAAATTCACTGTGGAATGCAATTCTCTAATGATATATTTGCAACGATCTGGATGGAGACTATCATAGAGTACCCGGGCCTGCAGAACTCCAAACACACCAGCTCCAAGTGGCTGCCTTGTCCATTGTGTACATTGTTAAATCATAACTAAGGAGATACAACAATGTAGGGAGGATGTGTGAATGCACGCTTTGAGGCCATGTGGAGAAAAGAGTCGAGACCACAGAGGTAGTGCATGAAGTCATAATTCCCTGGAGCTCAAGGCTGTGTCTTAATTATTTTTCTGTTTCCTGCCCTTAGCACATCATTGGAGCCCAACAAGTAGTTAGTAAACTGAGAAACCTAACATACAGGGCTGGCATGACATCCTTAGCCTTTACTGTCCAATGTTATTTAATTCACTGGTTTGTTCAGATTCCCTTGACGGTGCTTGTGCACGAACAACGCTTACCTGCAGTGAGGCATCCTCTTTTCCCTAGCTTTGTTCTTCCTCATTTTATCCTTTTAAAACTTATTTGTAATTGCAAGATAAGCCAGGGTTATTGCAGAAAAATCAGCAAAACTCAGCAAAAAGAAGAAGAAGAAAAATAAACCTGGTATATTTCCAGCCACCTGGCAATAAGTATAAACATTTTGGTAAGTCTACTTCTATACCTTTTGTGATGTATAATTGGAGGAAGAAAAAAAAAAAAAATATATATATATATATGTATATATCCCCTTACCAGATGCCATTGTCAATGTACAGTGATGAATGGGGGACTATATCCCACTGGGAGTTTATCCGGCCCTGGGCCATTTCTGTTTGCCCAGATCTACCTGCTGCCCAAAGCTGACCACTGAAAGTTGATGGGTGTGTTGTACCACGTTAAAGCCTGTTTCCTGTGGATCAGGAGAGCTTGGGCTGAGCCTGAAAGCAGGAGGCTATTCTCCCTCATCAACGTTATCTCCATTACAGGCAAGCGAACTTCTGGAGATTATGTTGCACTGAAGAAAATGTTTCTTTTAATTACTGTGGATTTAAATTGTGAACTCTGTGGTGCAAGCCAGTATGTTTTATCTAGTAGATGTCCATTGGAGGGTCACAGCAAGCATAAAGTCGCATATGTAGACCTCAGCGCAGGTGAGAGAGCTGAGGGGGAGGTGGAGGTGGTCAGTGCTGAGCTTGAAGTGGTAAAGGCCAACTGCTTTGCTAAAGATCCCACCACCCCTATTTACCTCCAGCAATATTTACCTTCACTGAATTGTTCAGAATTGGAGACTAGATTGGATTACTAAACTAGGTAGTGGAAGAAAGTAGAGTCCTAATCCTGTGAGGTGGCAGGATTTTTTCAAAAAAAATAAATAAATAAAATTGTATTACTTAAGATAGAGGAAAGTGGGTCTCTTTTCAAGAAAAAATAGAGGGCAGATTTCAATACAGGAGGCGAGACTGTGAAAGCACCCCCATACACATTTTAACTTGTTTTTCTTCTCTCTTGGATTCCAAGAATAGTCATATTTAGCACCCAGAATAACTTATAGCTACAATCAATCCCTTTACTTTCCCTAACCCTATAGTCACTCAGGTACAGAGTCACAGGACTTAATGAAGGGGCAGTACACGGAAATGTCCTCTCACATCACCCCTTTGCTGAGGCCAGGGCAGGGTGGCAGTGTGTGCAAAGTTGGTCTCCCAAAGTCCCAGTGATCTCAGATCATTCTATCCAAGAATACAGTATGATTTTCCATCTGTTTAATCTGGTCCTCATGTCTTCCAGGAGTGTTTCCAAGTTTTCTTTATATAGTTATTAGACATTTCTTGTTAAAATTATATCTAAGTATTTTATACCCCTTTTGGTTATTGTAGATGAGGTCTTTGTTTTCATCATATCTTCTAATTGGTTATGATTTCCGCATATAAAGAGTATTAGATTTATATATGTTAAATTGTTGGCGAATACTTCAAATACAGTGTGAAATGATAGTGACTTCATTGGTCTCAAACTTAGCAGGAGTCCCTCCAGTGTCTCTTCATCAAATAAGATGCTAGTCTGGGAGCTGACATGGACAGATATTGAGATACTTTTATGTTTTTTTATTTAGGAAATATCCTGACTTCTATTGTTTTTTCAGGGTTTTGAATCATACTTGGGTGTCAATTTTGTCAAAACTTTTCTCAGCATCTACAGCTATATCTTATACTGTTTTTCCTCTCATATGTTGAATTACATTAATGAATTTACTAATATTTAACCAGCCTTGCATTTCCGGAATAAGTTCCACTTGGTCATCCAATAATACGTATTATGTCTTATTGGAACTAGTGCACGGTCATACATTTTTCTGGAAGCAAACAGTAAGAAGTGTTTTACTATGTGAATTTATTCATCATATTAAAACAAACAAAAAGAAAAAGGAATTAAATGATATGCAATATATTTTTCTCCTTTTATATGCTTGCCCTTTACAGTTTTCTAAAGATCACCTCTGGCTCTAGGATGACTTCAGCTAGCCCCTTGAGCAAGCTTATATATAAATGATTGGGTTTTGCAGATTTGAGCACATTTAATTAACCTGAGCAATCTCTAACTATATTCTTCCCTGACACAGTATGTGTGGTTTGCAAACTCCCGTATTTTCAGTCCCAAAAGTCTCTTTCCTTTTTTTTAAGAGAAGTCTTTCCTTTTAATTTTGTCCTGAGTCTAATGCATGAACTGACATATTTATATTTTTGATCTCTTACTTTTTCATTTTGCTGTTATTATACTTGTTCCTTGACTAGTTTGTTTCTTTCCTTTCCTATTATTTTTTGATAAATTGCTGCAACCAATTATTTTCTATTTCCAAACATTTACTTTCCACTTTTTCTTTCTTCCTTTTTTTTTTTAGACAGAGTCTCACTTTGTTGCCCAGGTGACAAGGAAGTGTGTGCAGAGATGTGTGGCATGCAGTGCAGTGATCTCAGCTCATTCCAACCTCTGCCTTCCAGGCTCAATTGATTCTTGTGCCCTTAGCCTCCTAAGCAGCCAAGACTGCAGGTGTTTGCCACTACATCCGGCTAATGTTTTTTGTGTGTGTGTCCTTGTGTTTTGTTTTTTGTATTTTTAGCAGAGACAGGATTTCACCATACTGGCAAGGCTGGTCTCAAAATCCTGACCTCAAGTGATCCACCCACCTTGGTGCTGGGATTAAAGGCATGAGCCACCATACCTGGCCACTTCCCACCTTTCTGTACTGACCACTGTTACAGGACCTATGTACCTCCAGTGAGGAATGTTCGTCCTACTCCACTGATGTTGGCCTTGAAATGTGGTTTGACCAATGGAATGTGAGCAAAGATGCTATATGTCATGCCTGAGAAGAAACGTTGAGTTGTTGGAAGTTTCATAATTCATACAGCCACAAATGGTTCTAACAGCTTGGGAAGGCTTTTGTTTTTCTCTTAGAATACCACTGTAATGCAAAAGATTTTTGGAGCTCCTCTTTTAAAGTTCACTTCAAAACAATTTTCGAAAACCTTTAATAGCTTCATATCTATTTTTGAAGGCATATGTATTCACTGAAAACAACCTGATGTCAACCGCAGCCAAGTACACTTTCATGGGTAAGAGCATGAGTTTGAATTAGAGAAGCTCTGTATTCAAAGCATGGCTGTACTGTTTAATTTCGGTGGCGATTTATTCAGGTTAATCATCTAAAAATGGGAGCAATAACAGTGATGGATATTTTTGGCAGACAGTTTTCATTTCTAGTCTCTTCTGATATCTTTCCCATATCACAGAAAAGAACATTTCCCATGTTACCTTGTCTCCAGGTTTCTTGGAAATAGAATGAGATGCTCTGATGTGAATTTTGAACTGGGAGGCTGAACCTATATTAGCTTGATGGCGGTGCAGTCGTGCAGAGATGTGTGGAGCCCAGGCATTACGAGGCTGTGCCGTGGCCTCAAGGCACTCTCCTTAAACCCACTCACCTTTGTGCTGTAGGTTATGACCATTGGTAAAGGCTCCTTGTAATTTCCTAACCTGGGCAGTAGGAGCAATTTCGTAATTTGCCAGGCCACATGGTGAACCTGAAAGTGAGCGGTGGCCTTTCTTAACATTTTATTCTCTAGCCCTTCCCAACTGGAAATTCCTTGTATTAAGTCACAATCTGTTTAGAATGCTTAGCAAGGGTTCCAGTTTTCTGACTGATTTATTTTGTCATAGGATTGCTGTCATAAGACTGTCACAGAATTAAACAAAGTAATACATTTAAAATGCTTAAGACAGTGTCTGAAAATATTCCATAGCTATTACTACTATTAGGAAGGTAATCAAAATGAGCGATACCCCTCAAGTCAAAAAAAGAGGTGACCATCTAGATGAGATTGGTACTCACATGTGGTATGATAATTGGATCTGAAGACAATTTCAGAAGAGGAATTAGGCTACCAAAAGTAAGGCTGTCATCACCTGAAAACTGAAAAGAAAGATAGTTATTTACGTGGATGTTTTGATATATTGGTTCTTAAACAATACATCAATTTTTAGTCATTTTTGGATTATTTTGCTCAGGTTTCCCATCTTAAGCGAGGGAGTACAAGGGTTGTGAATCAGAAGATTAGCACCTCCTACATCCTCCTCCTTCTCCCCTTTCTCCTCATTTTCCTCCTCCTCTTCCTGAAACACCAGGCACAAGGATGAACTGAATTGACCAACACCTTCTTCTATTTTTCATAAATTTTTCCATAGATCAGACACCGCCAGGCAAAAATCCAACATCACTGGCATTTTAGGAAGGAATTTAACTTATTCACATTCAAGGTGGGTCTTCTGGCTTCCTACACAACAAGGAAGGGTGTTGGAAAGAGAGTTGGTCTCATTCATGGGCAGATTAATCTGTCATATATCTATGAGAAGTCAGATTGCAGTAAAAGTACTGGGTATCTAGGTTGAAGATTGAAAGTGCTTAAAGGGAGAGAAAATAATGTAGAAAGAAGGAGGATCCTAAATATAAACCTTTAAGGAAGTTGCAGCCTTGTCAAAGAGGGACTCTGTTGCCAAGTACCAATTAAACAAATCACAAATTAACAGTGTGATGCTCATCAGCTCCCAGTGTTTCAAGGACAGCCATGAGAATTTCATCATGTTAAACACAAGCTACTTCTGTTGATGTATTATTTCTGTGTCTATCTAAATAGTGAATAATACTCAATAGAAAGAGTGAAAGATCAGCCTGAGCATTAGCTAAAAGTTGCTCTATTTTAATCACAAGACACCAAGAAAAGGGAAGAAAGAGGGTTCTATGTTCTGTTAGCATTACTTGGTTTGATATCTGGACTGAGGGAATCCAACATATGCTCCTTACGCACGGTGATCCATACTTTTCAGTCTTATCACCTGTAGAAGGGAGATATTAGTAACTGCCTTGCAGGGTTGTTATTGGGACTAAGATGATTTGTGCAAATCATTTGAAAGGTTACTGACCTTTGATCAAAACTCCTCTCAAAGGTGGTTAATTCTTGCTGCCTCCCATGACTTCCTCTCCTGTGGTCTGTCCACACAGTCAGGCTTCAGTCCCACGTGTGCTGGAGCTGCTGGCAGGAGCCCACCGCGGCATCTCTTCCCAACTTTGAGTTCAGTGACATCATATTGTTAGCTTGAAACCAGCTCATCGGGAATATTTATTCCATGGAAAATTGGCAGATGCTATAAATCAGGATTTTGTTTTTGTGTTTTGGAGAGCCAGATTACCAGGACACTTACCCCTGCTTTGTCCCACTTTACCACTGACTCTGCTCCTACCAAAGTCGTTGATGACCTGTGTCTGGCTAAGGTCAGTAGTTAGTACGTTATCTCATCATATTCAAGCTCCCTGCAGCATCTAACCTGGCAGACCACTGCTCTTTCTTTGAGCATTTTCTCCTCTAGAACTCTGCACACTCACCTGGTTTTCCTCTTACCTTGTCAACTGTGCCTTTTCAAGATCATTGGTTGGATTTACCTCCCCTAGAGACTTCTAAATGTTAGAGTACCTAGAGCTGTGTTCATTGGCTCTCTCTCTCTGTTAAATACTCTTCTATCATTACTTGTTCTTACATAGTTCTGTGACTTTAAATACAATCTATAAAACCCTCCAGATCTATTTATTACTATTTTTTCTGAGACAGGGTCTTGCTCTGTCACCCAGCCTGGACTACAGTGGCACAATCATAACTCACTGCAGTCTTGAACTTCTGGGCTCAAGTGATCCTCCCACTTCAGGCTCCCAAGTAGCTGGGACTACAGGCATGCATCACCTTGCCCAGTTATTTCCTTTCTTTTTTTTTTTCTGTAGAGACAGAATCTCACTATGTTGCTCAGTCTGGTCTCAAACTTCAGCCTCAAGCAATTCTTTCATTTTGGCCTCCAAAAGTGCTGGGGTTATAGGCGTGAGCCACCATGCTCAGCCCACAATTCAATTTAAACACATACTGCCTCCTCAGCATCTCTGTTTGCATGTCTAATCAAAATCTCACACTCAACATGACCAAACTACAGAGACGCCCCCTCATTCCCACCTGCACCCCCAACCTCTGCATCAGTATCTTTTCTTTGTTAAAACCTGTCTCAGCAAATAGTATTCCCATTTGCCCACTTCCTTAGGCCGAACACCTAGGGCTCATACTTGATTGCCTTCCCACTCACTCTTAACAAATGAGCATAATTTACATGAGTAAAGATCAAGGCTAACAGCATGGCTATGAACAAAGGTCCATGTGAAAACAGATGGAAAGTTAGGAATGCAGACTCACCTGGAGCAATTGAAAGGAGGTAATCAAGATGAATCTGGAAGGATAGTTTGATGATAGATAATAATTGTTCTGTAATTTAAAAAACTATTCTTCAGGCAATAGAAAATCACTGGAGGTTTTTGAGACCAATCTGACCATTGGTTTCAAAAGAAAACTTTGACGATGCATTTAGATGATCAGAAATTAGAGACGGGGAAAGTAATTAGAAACTTACCATGATTGCTCAAGTAAGAGAAGATAAGAATCTGAACTACAGAGTAGACAGAATGAGAGAGAAAAACTTTTAACTGCTCAAAGCAATAGGACTTGACTGATTGAATATGAATGAGGAAGAAGAAACAAAAGGTAATTGAGAGGGTCCCAGTTAGTGTCTCCAGAAAAACAGAAATGCCAAGAACAGAGGTAAAGAACAGATGAATGGTAGGCAGATTGTGAGAAAAATAAAATGAGGTTGGTTTCAGACATAACATGTTTGAGATGTCTATGAGGCAGGGAGGGAAAGCAGGGACCCCTCTTAGGGGCCAGCTGGGTACACCCCACCAAGCTTGGAAAGAAAGGAAAATCTCCAGTTCCTTCGAGGGAAATTCAAGGCACCTTAGGTAGCCTTGAGAGGTAAGTGAGCAACCTGATAAACAAGAAGGAAGTAGTAGCTTAAAACAATTGCCAAGAAATTTAGAGTCACAAAATATCTGGTTCCCTGCAGAAACTAAAGATAACATCTTAACATATATCCCTGAGTTGTTTTTCAGAAAACCGGACCCAACCACATGAGAGATGCCGCCTGCTGGCACAGACTTCAGAGGAGGGAAACTGAGGACTAAACCACCGTTCTTAGTTCTGAAGTTCTTCCTGAGGGGCCTAGAGGAGGTCACACCCAGGAGCCAGACCTAACCCATCTTCCTAGTGACCCCAAATTTTTAAACAAAGCTTTTCTTCCTTAACCAATCGCAAATCAGAAAATCTTTAAAGCCTGTGAGCTCCCAATCTGAGGTATCCTTGCTTTTTAGGTCAAACCAATGTATATCCTCCATATATTGACTTACAACTTTGCCTTCAATCTCTGCCTCCCTGTCCTTAAAAACTATTCGTGTCTAGATGTGGTGCTTATGCCTGTAATCCCAGCACTTTGGGAGGCCAAGGAGGGCAGATGATGAGGTCAGGAGTTTGAGACCAGCCTGGACAACATGGTGAAAACCTTATCTCTACTAAAAATACAAAAATTAGCTGGGCATGGTGGGGGGAGCCTGTAATCCCAGCTATTCAGGAGGCGGAGGCAGGAGAATCACTGAACCTGGAAGGCAGAGGTTGCGGTGAGCCGAGATCACGCCATTGTACTCCAGCCTGGGCAACAAGAGCAAACTCTGTCTAAAAACAAAACAAAACCCTTATTCATAAGCCATCTGGGAGTTGGGGTCTTAAGCATGAGCTGCCTGATTCTCCTTGCTTGATGCTCTGCAATAAATGTCTCATGTTCTCTCCCTGCAAATCCCAATGTCAGTGTTTGGCTTTGCTGCTCCAGGTGGACAGACAAGTTCAGTTCAGTAACAGTGGTGATGGAAATGTCCAGCAGAATCAAGGCTCAGAAAAGAGAGCATAACTGGAGAATGATTAGAGGGTACTGAACCATACACAACTTTGAATTTTGGGTTCAATCCAGTACCTAACATGTGGTGAGTGTCCAATATATATTGTCAGTGAATATTACATCTTTGGGAATACTCACTTTGGAGATGTTGTAAAACTTGTTAGAACAGATTAAATTGCCCAGTGAGAGAAGACATCTAGGACAGAGACTTGGAGTATCCATCTTCTAAGCACAAGAAAGAGGAATCATGCAGAAAGACGGATGCAGGATAAGACTGTTGGGATCGTAATGTCATGGAACCCAAGAGAGGAAGGAAGTTCAACAAGGAAGAGGTTAGATTCCACACTGCACATTTCTACTAACATGTAGAATGGAATGAGGGTAGATAAAATGCTGTTGGATTTGGCAGATCATGTGTGAAAAGAATTTTAATGAAGTGGTGGGAACAGAAACCATACCACGAAGGCTATGGAGTGAGTGTGGGATACAGGAGCTCAATGGTACAGGAAGTAATGCCTGAGAGTACTGGGCCCTTGTGACATCACCAATGTCTCCACAGTCGAGTTTCATAGTCCTCTGGTAGTGGTCCAGGCAATAATGAATCAGGCCTTCTGTCCATGCATGTAACCCTCTTGTCCTGGGCATGTGGAAAATTCCCCTCATGACAGTTCTGTCCAGCTTTCTCTCATGTTTTGAAACCAAACCGTACATCTTATCCCAATAACTCTGTGTGGCTGACATGGAGGCATCACCTGCCTGCCCCAGGCGCTGTCTGGGGAAGAAAGCTTTCCTTCTGAGTGCCTTTGTTAATGTTTTTCCTAATTTGGAAAGTCTTTCAGTAATTCAAGAAAATCCTTCCTCTACAGGAGAGAGGGATCTCATTATGATTGAGAAAAAATATCAAGGAAGAGTGAGTCATATTTTGATAGCATAACAAAGTGAAAAATAGGGTGTAGGCAGGTTGAGAGCGATTACAGCAATCTTCTTAGTGGCTAAGAAGATTTCCCATAACTATCATAAATGAATAATGGTTTGACAAGGAAGAGATTTAACAAGAGAGGGAAAGGGAGGTAGGGGAGGGTGGGGCTGGGGAGAGCACCTAAATGATTTAACGTTGGTCCCCATCCTCCCCCACTGAATCAGTTTTTAATTCCCCATGTGGCTACTCTAATTAATCTTCCCAGTGATACTTGCTTGAGATCAATCCTTCCCCTGCCAGGGCCATTTTTCATATGTAGCTCTTAGCTTGGGGGTTTCTAGACCACGGAGACAGTAAATTTGTCCCCAAGCCTGTCTGAGAGAAGGCTATCAATTCTTAGGGCAGGCTTATTGACTTACTTTTTCCTCCTAAACCTAAAGTTTGGGCTGAGACTTTATTAAGGTTGAAACCTTACGGAAGGAAGGGGTGCCCTGCCTGCCTGCCTTTGAAATTTTGTACTGGATACCTGGCATAGGGCCAACTCTGAGGCCCCCCCTACACCGCCTTGCCCCAGGGCCTCCTGCCTGCTAGTGGGACAGAAACAGAAGGTGTTCACTGGAACACAAAAGAAACAAGTTCACCATGACTTTGCAGACTAGCCGAGAATCTCCCTCGCAGCTTCCTCATTATCTGGAAGGACTCAGGTGTTCCTAGACGCAAAATATCCAGATGTCTTTACTCAAGTCAAATCTCAAGGCCAGCATCTCCCTGGTAATTGCCAGCTCCTGGAGCCAGGAAGAGATGCCTTTCTGTAATTGTCCCTAAAAGTCAAAACCCTGCCTAGCAAGACAACCCTTTAACCCTTTAAATGCATGCCTTCTGCATTTCCCAACTTCCCTCATGGGAAACGAATAAATCAGAGATGGTTTTCTGTACATTGTCTGGTACACACCATTACATAAAGAAAGACCTTGTTAATTTTCTTCTTTTCTCACGGGTTGCAACATGTTGTTTGCCTCCCTCTAGCCTCATTGTTATTTTCCAACTCTCTCCTCTCATATTTTATGAGTGCATTGATTTACTGTCATTTTCATTTTTAAAAACATCTGCCTCCTACCCCAACAAGCATTTTTTTCCAAAGTGAGTATTATCCACTTCCCTCCAGTTCTCCTTGTGTTCCTCTGTCGAGTGTTCTTATTCATCCCATTTGTGAAGAAAGGAACTCTCCCGGCCAGCACAAAGCATCTGCTGCTTCCATCCAGACAAAGAAAGAAGGTGGCATGGGGTTTTTATTTACTGAAGGCTCCGACGAATGCAGAGGGAAGTGTGCATTCCTAGTGCTCCTGGCTTTGTACTTGTTACAGACGCTGTTGTCCTGCTAGGAAGAGAAGCCCCTCGCAGAATGCAGAAACCAATGCCTGAGTCTCAGCCTTGCTCTTAAAGGGTAGTATATGAAGAGGTGTTTTAGAAGCACTATGAACTCACCCTGCAGTTCTCAAGTAATCAGGAACTGCCACTCTCCTCTTCTCTTCTACAAAGGAAATGCAGATACATGAGGGTAAGAAAAAGGCATCTAAATAATAAAAGCCTCAAGTGGAAAATACTGGCAAAAATTAGAAAAAATTCATTAAAGTTAGGGAGAGGCAGAAGAGAATGGCAAATCAAGGGAATTCATATCGAAATGCACCTTTGGGGAACTCAGGAGGGCCTGGAATCTGCTTTGCTACATTGCTTAGAAGCAGACAATGTGAAACAGGCGGGGGCCAGGCAGTGGAAGGAGGACTGTGGCTAAGGCCAAGCTAAGCAAGCTCTGGCTGGTGTGCAAGTCTCCAAAATGGGGAGGTTGTTCTAGAAAAACCCTTGTGTGTTTTTGAATATTTACTCTCAGCTTTGCTGAGCTGAGCAGATTAAACAGAAGTTACCCAAAGCACATTGCATCTCAAGTATTCAAGTTCTCTGGAGTGTCTGAGACCGTTATGAGGGTTGGGGAAGGAGGGTCTACAGAACCAGAAATTGAAAATACTCCTTTCTATATATATATATATAATCTACCTGAATTACTAGATACCTCTTGAGTTACTTTTTTGGGATGACTGGGTTGCATCCTCCTTTAGATTGGTTCTGTTCACTCCCTATAGTAGAAATTTAAAAAAAATTCTAAGCATGTATGTACATATTTTTTCTTTTCTTTAAGATTTTCACGTGTATTGACTGAGTTTTTCCACAACCCTGAAAGGCAGTCTTCATTTTGAAGGAAAACCACACAAGTGGTGAGCAGAAGACAACTTCAGTCCAGACCTCTAGTCTTTAAACCCTGGATCCTTCTATGGCTCTGCACTTTTTACTGTTTGTTTTTTGAGATGGGGTTTCACTATTGTTGCCCAAGCTGGAGTGCAGTGGTGCGATCTCAACTCACCACAACCTCCACCTCTCAGGTTCAAGAGATTCTCCTGCCTCAGCCTTCCAAGTAGCTGGCATTACAAACAGTGTCACCACACCCGGCTAATTTTTTATTTTTAGTAGATTCGGATTTTCTCCGTGTTAGTCAGGCTGGTCACGAACTCCCAACCTCAGGTGACCCACTCATCTCGGCCTCCCAAAGTGCTGGGATTATAGGCATGAGCCACCATGCCCAACTCACAAACTTTTTATCTGTAAACACAATAGCAGGAGCACAGGCCAGTGAGAGCAGCGTAGAAGAAGATCAAGAAGATGGAGCAGCAGGATTGACATTGCTTATTTTAAATGGTGAGAATTGTCCCACGGCGACTCACTAGATGTGGTGACTGTGGATATATTCATGATGAGCAGGAACACCACAAAATCAATGAAACCAGTCAATATGTGATTGACAATTCTCCCTGCAGAGGAAGGGCCCTTGCAGGGCTGGTCGTTGTCTTCAATTCTGTTCCTAATGCTAATTTCATCCCAACTATAACATTCTTTCTTATCTTTTAATTTCACTCCTGGGAATCTCTTCACTGTAGGTAATGTAAAGGAAAGGAAAAGCTACACACATGAAGTCATCATAGCAGCACTACCTGTAACAACAAAACATTGGAAGATTTAATGTCCAATTATGTGGGAATATCTGAGTTATGGTAGATCAATTTGGTATGATATTATGCGGCAATAAAAACAATGATTATTACGATTATATAACAAAATGGAAAATACCATAATATTAAACGCAGAAGAAGAATAAGAATGTGCTGGCTGCGGTTGAAAATACAGTTTTATATGTACAAAGGCTGGAAAAGTGGCAATAGTGGGCTATGCATGAATCTTTTAAAATAATTATTTTACATTTTCTTATCACAAATAAAAATCAAATAAAAAAATTAAAAAAGTAATCCCAGCACTTTGGGAGGCCGAGGCGGTGGATCACGAGGTCAAGAGATCGAGGCCATCCTGGTCAACATGGTGAAACCCCGTCTCTACTAAAAATACAAAAAATTAGCTGGGCATGGTGGCATGTGCCTGTAATCCCAGCTACTCAGGAGGCTGAGGCAGGAGAATTGCCTGAACCCAGGAGGCGGAGGTTGTGGTGAGCCAAGATCGCACCATTGCACTCCAACCTGGGTAACAAGAGTGAAACTCCGTCTCAAAAAAATAAATAAATAAAATTAAAAAACTGTTGCTCAACGTTAATTAAACTGCCATGTGTCTGTTTGTGTGTAGTTTAATGATTTATCACACAGATTTAAAGCCAAGAGTCCCTGGAGTCAACAGTCAAAATTTTCATTGCTTGCTAAATAATTTTCACTAAACTTTTTAACCTCTGCAGCTTGAACTCATTCATGTATAGGAAGGGCAATTTTTATAGTAGGAGTTCAGTGTTTCTTGAGTGAATGAATAAATGGACAATGGGAAAAGGTCTCATCTTTCGGTGAAGGCTTTGTTTCCAAAGGACTCAAGAAGCTGTTCTGTTATGTTGTAATGGTGGGGGAGGTCCACTGGGCTGTTCTTCATGCTGATGTTTGTGGTTATGTCTTTTCCACAGTGGAAAAGTGTATGTGATATGTACATTTAAAAGCACACCTAAAATTGGATAAAACGCTGAGTACATAAGTAGTTCCTGAGGGACAATGAAGGGCAGAACGTGACTCCATTTCCCAAGTCTCCATTCTGCCCACACAATCAATCACCTGTTGGGCCTCTTTGATCCAGGTCTCAAAGGAAAGAGGC